AATATATTTCCTAAGTTGCCATCGAGATAAACAAGGAAGTCAAATCTCTGCCTCTCTGGGAGAAACTTGGACCATGTTTGATAAATAGCTTATTGGGAATAAATTAGCTTATTTGACTAACTTTAGCTGATTAACTAGTCAAATAAGCTAATATGGAGTACTAGTATTTGGTGGTAAGCTTATTGGAAGGGCTTATTCACCTCGATAAGCTTTTTTACAAAACATTGGTATGAGCAGCATTTGCAAGGAGCTTATTTGGTTGGGTGGGTTAAATTACGAATTAGCCCTCTTGTTTATGTCCAAATCCCATGACATACAACCAATCAATTATCCATTACTCACTTCTAATCCTGGGCACCGTGTCGTGCCGGGCCGCCGCGGGCCGTGCCTGGCGGGCCACGGGCTGGTTCGTGCCGTGCCGGTCGTGCCGGCGGGCCCAGGATTTCGTGCCGTGCCGTGCCGGCCATTTTCACAGGCCAGCCCACGGCACGGCACGGCCCTCGTGCCTGGCGGGCTCGTGCCGTGCCGGCCACGTGCCGGCCTGCGGGCTGGCCTGCGCGGGCTGGTGCAGTTTTCAAAATTATTATTTTTTTTTTTTTTTTTTTAATGACAACATTATAAATTAATAAGTTTATAATGTATATAAGTTATAAAATTATAATTATAAGTTTTATAAGGTAACTTATAAGTTTATAACTTATAAGTTATAAGTTATTAAGTTATGAATTTTATAATTATAAGTTGAATATTTATGTTTTATAATTTGTATATTCAATATTTATATTTATATATTTACTTTATACTATTACTTTAAAATTTAATGTTTATGATTTATTAGTAATTGGTATAATTTTATTTTTTTTTAATATGAATTTACAAATTGTAACAAAACGGGGAAAAAAGGCAAATTGGACTTTGGATGTGAATAATGCGTACTTTATATTATTATTACTTGAGTTGAGAAAATTGTACAATGATAAAAATCATACAATGATGGTATTAAACAAAAATTGGAAAATGATAAAATTGATATTTTTAAAATCGTACAATATACAATAATTGTCTATTCTTCTTCTCCTTCTTCTTGCTCGTCTTCGTCTTCGTCTTCGTCTTTGCCTTCGCCTTCAAGGTCATCGGCTAGTTGCATAGATTGGGAACTATCCGAACCCGAACCGGAAGCGGAGGTTCCTTCTTCGTTGTCGTTGTGGTCGTAAGAACGGTCTTGTGAGCGACTTTCCGCATCCAACCAATCTTTGAAACACACGCACATTTCTAGTGTTTCGGGTTTTAGACTTGTTCTTCTATCGTCTAAAACCCTTCCGGATGCGCTGAAAGCTCGTTCAGAGGCGACGGAGGAAACTTGGATAGCAAGAATGTCTCGTGCCATTGCCGCCAAAGTTGGATGCTTCGAGCTTTGTTGTTTCCACCATGCAAGGAGGTCGAGGCTGTTTATCTCATCGTCGTCCATGCCTTTGGTGAAGTCGTAACTCAGGTACATCTGCAACTCCGAGACGTCGCTTTGCGTTCTCCTGATTGATGAATCACCTGAAAACCTTGAAATCAAGTTAGTAGCTTGTGAAAATAAATGTTTGGCCTTCTTACTTACGTTTTTGGATGGTTGGGAAGGCCCTGAGCGAGGAACGGTGCCATATTTGGCTTCATAGACTCTATATAAAGCAAAAAACTGATCCTTCACATTAGTCTTATAGTTTTCTACATCATCGTCAAGAAACATGCATTGAAAGTAAATGTCAACTAACATAAATGTGTTTTCATACTTTTGCCTAGGATCTAATATGGAAGCAAAAATATAAATCAAAGGAATCTCAGTATAATATTTACGCCACTTTTTTTCCATTGCTGGAAGATACTGATCATAATCACTTTGATCGCGATGATCAGCGAAAAGTTGGGCGAGTAAGCATGCATTAGAAAGAAAGTTTTGAGCACAAGGATTGTAAACAGTAGAAAAACAATACGTCATGTTATATAATAACTGTAATAATTGCATATATCTTTCACAGTTTTTCCAATCATCATCATACAAAGCATTTTGTGGAAATTTTTGGTTGTAAAATAATGTTAACGGGCCCTTGTACTCAACTGCCTTTGTTAACATGTCATAGGTGGAATTCCACCTAGTTGGGCAATCGGTTCTAATTTTTATTACCCTTATCTTTTGTTGTTTTAGAAAACTCTTCCATTCTTGGTATCTCATGTTAGAGCTATTAATAGACATAATAGCATCTCTGATTTTGCTGTAGTATGGGCCAATTGCCCGAACTCCATCCTGTACACATAAGTTAAGTACATGGCAAACACATCTAGTATGAAGAGCTTCACCGTCTAATAGTACATCGGTTAAGTTTTGTTTGATAAGATTAGATGTGTATGTCATAGAGGTTGCATTATCAAAAGTCATAGACATCATTTTATCTCGAAGGTTGTATTCGTCTATTGCTTGCATTAAATGGTGAGCAATGTTAATGCCGGTGTGTGGGTATTCCAGCATTTTGAAATGTATTATTCTTTTTTGTAACATCCATTGATCATCTACCCAATGGCAAGTCACACATAAATAGTGATATTTATAACCACTATCCCAAGAATCGGCTGTTAAAGATACTCTACAGTTAAGGTTACTCAATTCGGCTTGTAACCGGACTTTGTACTCTAGGAAATTTTTCATTGCGGCGGAACGAACGGTTTTCCTAGAGATTCTTTTATGTTGGGGTTGTAGTGCTTTGTTAATGTAGGTGTTGAATGCGTCACTTTCCGAGAAAAGAAAAGGTTGTTCGGCGTGTACTATCATTTTTCCTAGTTCATCCCTATCCCTCTCATAGTTGTATGTAAAGCCGTATGGATGGGATTGGGAAATTTTGGGCTGGGTTGGATCACTAGCTGGTTTTGCACAAGCTTTCATGTGTCTAGATAAGTGTCCCGTCCCGTTTTTGGTAACTGCCGTGAATACACTATTACATGTTTTACATTTTGCCCATTGTTCACCATCTTTACTTAGGACAAAATAACGCCATACCTCACTCCTTCGGTTTTTCAAAAGTAGCATCTCAGTTTCGGTTAACCATTCATGATGTGTGTGATGGTTAGTAGTGGGACTAGTGGGAGTGGCAGTAGAAGGGGTAGAACCGGAGGGAATTCGGGTACTTTCTTGGCTACCTTGGCTAGAACAATAGTTTTGTTGATTACCGATATAATTAGGTGGAAATTGGTATGGTGGTAGTGGAAATTGGTTTAGTGGTGGTGCTGGAAATCCCGACGTATTATATGGCTCATAGCCCGGGGGGAAGTAAATGGGGTCATTGGTTTGACTCGTAATTTGGGGGCTCGTTGTATTTGGTGGTTCCCTAGAACTACTACTACGGATAAGTCGGCCTTTCCCCCTAGACCTAGATGATGGGTTGTTCGATGCCATAATTAACAATTAATTTTTTAATAAAAAGTGGTTAACTATAATAATAATAATTAATAACAACAATTTTAACAATAAAAATATCAATAATATTAATTAATAACAACAACTATAACAATAACAATAACAACAAAAATAAATAATAACAACAATTGTAACAATAATAATAATTAATAACAACAATTATAACAACAACAATAACAATTAACAACAATAATAATTAAACAAGATTATTCTAATAATAACAATAAAACAATAATAAATTTAAGATTAGTTTAGATCTTACAACCGTGCTTCAACGCTCCACTAATTACGATTACGAACTTTTTAATTTTTTCCGATATTAGGAAAATAATTAGAGAATTTAAGAGAATAATTAGAGAATTTAAGAAAATAAGGATTATTAGAGATTTAGAGAATATAAGAGATAAGAAGAAGAGATTGTGATTTTGTGATTTGGGAATGAAATGGAGGTGAGTATTTATAGAATTTTTGGCAAAAAACTAGCCGTTTTATAGCCGTTGGCCCGCGGGCCGTGCCTGCGGGCCAGCACGGCGGGCCATGCCCGTGCTCGTGCCGGGCCGTGCCTGGGAATTCTCAACCGTGTCCGTGGCACGGCCCGTGGCACGGAAGTTGAACTTCGTGCCGTGCCGTGCTTGACTTCGGGCCGTGCCGGGCTGCGCCGAACGGCGGGCCGTGCCGGGCGGCATGCGGGCCAACCCGGCCCGTGCCCAGGTTTACTCACTTCTTCTCACTGCCACTCCACATACTCTTTAGTTTTCTTTGTTTTGATTATTGTTTTTTTAGTTTATTTAATTATTGGTCATGTTTTTTATTTTTTTTAATTTTTTTTTAAGTATCTGTTTTAATCCAAATTTTAGCAATTTTTATCTCCTCCAAATACTTTTCATCTTAACCAAAATTTTTGAAATCCTTCTTACCCAAACTAATACATCTGATTTTTTTTTTCTTTTAAAAAAAAATTATTATTCATGCATTTTTTAAAAAAATATCTCTTTTTTTTTTTATTGAACTAATCCTTCAAAATTTAAAATGCCAATGTCCTTATTGGTCATTTTGCATACTCAAACAGTTTTAAGTAATTAGCTATTTACCAAACACTTTTATACAATCAACTAATATAATAAATTAATTAAATCAGTTAATAAAATCAGCTAATTCAATTAGTTTTAGCTTTCAGCTTCCTCTGAAACAAAGCCTTGGATTTTCTCCTCAAGTACTCAGGACTAAAATAACAAAACCAATAAATCATCCTTAATCACCCAGAACCACCACGTGCCTGCCTGGCCTACATCCCTAAAATACTGCCTAAATACCACGTCAAGTTGTCAAACCAACAATCTACAACTCACACAAACGCTAAAACCAACCGTCAGATCAAACAAATCCACGATCCAAAAATCCTCATAACACTCGACACGGATCGCCAACACAAACCGTCCAATACAATCCAATCCAACGTCTCAAATCAACGCGCAAAAACTCCCTCCAAAACCAAATCTCAAATTTTCCAACTCACCCACTTCTATATAAACCCTCTCTTCCCACATCATTTACCACCACATTTCACAACCAAATACAAAACCCAGACAAAGCCACCAAATCTGAAAAAACAACAAATTTGAAGAGAGAGAAAATGTCAGGAAGAGGAAAGGGAGGAAAGGGGCTCGGAAAGGGAGGAGCCAAGAGGCACAGGAAGGTATTGAGGGACAACATTCAGGGTATCACTAAGCCTGCCATTCGCCGTCTTGCTCGTCGAGGCGGTGTTAAGAGGATCAGCGGCCTGATCTACGAAGAAACTCGCGGTGTTTTGAAGATATTTTTGGAGAATGTTATCAGGGATGCTGTTACCTACACCGAGCATGCTCGCCGTAAGACGGTTACTGCTATGGACGTTGTCTATGCTCTTAAGAGGCAGGGCCGTACTCTTTACGGTTTTGGTGGTTAAGTTGTTTTACTGTTTTTAGGGTTTACGTGGGTTATTTAGTGGTAGTATTATGAAAAGTATTTTGTGATTAGGGTTTTTTTAATTGAGATGTATGGATCTCTGTTATGTAATTTTCTGAAAGTATTGTTATATGATATGAAATCAATTAGACTCTTAATGTGATATTCTTCTCTGGTTTTCTATTGGATTTTTGTTGGCATCTGATTAAGCATTTTGGTGATGTTTGCTATAATTGTTAGATCTGTTTGGGATAAACTTACTAATATTACTAATATGATGTTGAAAATAGATTTGAGCTCAAAGAAAGCTGCTAATAAAACTTAATATCTCAATTTGTTGTAGATTCTGAAAGACTGAAGCCAGATTACCCAAGCGTAGATTTAACTATTGCACTGCTCATTTAGGAAGTTTTGTGCAAATGAGTTTAATCAGGCAATAGAAAGATACAGCAAGTAGTATGTATTTTGCTAACTTGGAAGATGACAATGTATTGAATATTTCAATTTTGAAGCAATTTTTTCAAAAGCAACTTATGATTTTGAGTCATGGACTTAATTTCATTGTTGGCAAACTTGCCTTCTAGTGTAGTATGCCTGAAGGCATTGAAGCCTTGAACTGTTTACGAGCTTGTTTGCATCATTACTTATATGAAAAAGAATCTGCAGTCTAATGAACTGATACAGCATGTTGAACGATATGTACTTAACTACTAGGCGTATTCATTCTGTTATTTTACCAAATTCTGAATTCCATACTTTTACATACGCACGTGAATAAAGTTACCTGTAGAATGTAGATCAGGCAGAGAAGAAAGGTACCCATAAAATACAATTGAGGATTAGTTTTTAGTCTTTTTACTGATGTTCTCATTAACATGATCCGTGAAACATACTTTTCAGAAATAACATGACTCTACTCTGCGCGAACATGAAGTGCAAAACGTGAGTTTGTTACCAGTACGATGATTTCAGAAGTGCAAAACAACTACTCTGCAGTTCGTATATTTTACCAAGTATTATGAAGGCCTAATCTATCTGCAGCACAAATACACAAAGCAGATATAATATTAACTATAATGTTGGTTCTCTCACATTAACTTGAGTCATAAATCAACAAACTCACTGCCTTGCTTTTGGACAACTCTAAATTACACAGAAAATACTGCAGGTCAGAGTCACAGGTGATTAACACAAGATCATCATCATCGTCATGATACTTGATCTTAAAACTGCTTGAGTCCAGATTTAGCCTCTTGCTCACTTCTTCCTTCAGTTGAGTGAAACAGAATGTTGATGAGAAACTAAATTTAATTAAATCTTCCTTGTATTTGGCCTTCACTGTGAAGATGATACAAGTTCCATCTAGTCTCGCACTTGATGGACCATGATTTGAGTCCTGCAGGAACTCAAGATTCTGTTCATCACCAAGTGGATTAGCAGGGGTGCTCGAATTCATCTGTGCAGAACCTATAGAAGCAGATCCAGGTTTGCTTCTGAATTTCTTGACATTCTTTTTTGTGCTTGATGGCCATCTATTAATTTTAAATTGTCTGCATTTGCGCTTCAATGTTGACCTGCTGACTGAAATTGATGCATATTACAAACTTTTTAATATTTGTACTTGGAGAAGGAAATGGAAAAAGATTATGAGAAGTCATAAAGCATAAATCATATCAGCACAACTGATTAAAGCATTAAAAAAACAAGTACAAAGTAACTATGTATCTACACAGCATGAAGTGTAGTAAAAGCATAGTTTGCTTCAATTTTCTGATCATTGTGAATTGTTAAGATCAAAACAAACATACCTCCCAATTGTTTTGCTGCATCAACTAGCTTCAGCGAAAACAGTGGAACAATATCCTCCATGCTTATTTTTTTCTCAGCTTTTGCATTAACATCTGTAGTCATTTTTGACTGTCCGATCTGTAAAGATGAGAGATTGTTCTCACCAACAAGAAATATTTCATCATCTGAAGAACCTGTTTCAGATGTTAGCTGTCTGTCTAGAGGTTCCATATCAACAAGAATTATTTCATCATCTGAAGAATGTGTAGTCATTATTGTTCCATCATTAACTTGGACATATTCATCCACATGCTTGAGCTTTGCAACAGACCTATTATCCTTATTGATGTTGTTGTTAGATAGAGATCTAGTAGACAAATTAGATTCAACTTGTAAGTCTAGATTCTCATTCACCGACACTTCAATGGTTTCCTTATGACTCCTTTCCTCTTCCAGAGTTCTCCCAGAAGCTACCATTAGATTCTGGAGATTTTGCCTCATTGTTGCCAATATGGAGCCTAGCAAGTTAAGTTGCTCTGTGTCTTTTAAGCTAAGAGGGAGAAAAAACTCAAGAATATAATCATCATCTCCTGTATGTTTGCTCCTTAAACAGATAGCAAAGCTGCCAGTTAACCCAAACATGCGAGCATAGTGCACCAATGGGTATTCGATTTTACAAAATTGTGAAATATCTCGGCAGTAACTCAAACCATGGGATGAAAATGACCCCCCGGCAACACCCTGCCCTTTCTGAAGATGATGCTCAGCACAGGCTTCTCGGAAGCCCCACATATGAGCATCTACAACATAGAATGCGACATCAGAGGTGGACAAGCTTACTTGTTCAATACAGCTTCCATCAAAGCTGGAACAACTTTGCTTCGGACCACCACCATAGGCTAGAACACACCTATGCCTGCAAGGAACCCAAGTCTGCGCCAGAGGTAATTTATATGTTTCACACAGCTCAGTCAATACTTCCAAGATTTCCGCAAGTGCATTTTGGCGACCTACATTACAGACCTGGATAAGCGCAGTTGTCACAATTAGTCTTTAGAGATTAAGGGGACACTGGAATTCAAGAATTGCAAAAACACTTACCTGGATGTTTTGATGATCCGGTATCTGTGAACTCTTCAAATTTACTGCCTGGAAAAGAGATCAAATTCTGTAAAGAGGCATAATCGAACATATGAAAGCAGAATGACTTCCTAAACACATGCAGTAAGCCTACCAATGAGGTATAGATGAACACTAAGCACATACGACACACAAAGTATATTTAAATTTCACAATGAATACATAGATTGACATTGTATTTTGAGCCAAAGAAAAGTATTCATTTAAAAAAAAAATAAAAAAAAATAACCTTAGTTGGGAATAATGGGGCACAATAGATCTGGATTTCCAAGTTTTTGGACATTTAAGCTCTTGCCAGCACTCTCTGTTTAACTATTTGAATGTCAATACAGCAAAGAGGGTGGAATAATTTGTTTTAATTAAAAACCACCTAACTCTAGTTCCACTTTCTGCTCCGCACATATCAGAAACTTGAAAGGAAGATCCTAGAGGCTGGAATCCAATGAAAACCATACATTGGCATGCATTATTTTCCAAGGACTCTTTTGCTCATCTTAATAAGTGGTGTTAAGTACTTGACAACATTGATGAGTGATGAGGTATGGTCAAGTTCTTATATTATTAGGCATGCGTATTTCTTTGCTACATTGCATGCTCCATCTATGCAAAAGCCCTAATAGTTTCCCCATCAATCCATCACTGCCTTAATGTGTTAATGTGAGAGCAATTACAACTCGCCAACTCGGTATCTATTTAGCACTAAGCAGCATCTGGGGAAGTCTAGATACATAGCATTACCAATGAACAGTTGAAAGCCCTCAATATCAAATATGGTAGAAATGTACCCGATATAGAAGCAACATAGTAAAGCCGTAACATTTTTCTATTGGCCTCCCCCCCCACCAAAAACCATCCCCTAACAGGAAGGATTATTTTATTACCTCATATAATGAGGCAGCAAACAACATACTTTCTCTGTTTTTTTTAGATGCATCACTTTCTAAAATGAGTGTAATTAGCATAAATTCCTTATTATTTAATAAATTATCTCTATCTATCTCATATTACATGGTTCTCTTTTTTCTTTCTTTCTATCTCTCATTTTCTCTCATCTCCAAAAATTTCTTAGAATTCCATGTTTTTGCAAATGATGCATCTAACGAAGGAAGTATAACAAATTAAGACCCACAAGTTAATCCAGCTTGAAGCCTAATATTAGGGACACAATGTGTGTCAAAATTTTCAATGAAGATCAGTGACAAAATGCCCAAAATCACAATAGATATTTCTCAACCAAAACATGGGATAGGGAGCAAGCAAAAGAGGGTGGCAGAGACAATACATCTCTCCTTTTTGAAAGAAGATAAACCAACCTCGAGAGCTTTGCAGATCTTATCAACTTCAGGAGCATAGTTGATCTTTTGGGATGTCATTACAAGCTCAAGCACACCAACACAGGACTTCCCTGAAGGTTCAAAGATAGGCAAAGCCAAGGTTCCTCTGATGTTATAATGCTTTGCATGACTGACTTGAGGATACTCTTTGCTGGTGTAGTACTGAAAATTTGGCGACCACTCTGACATTTTTTGTCTGAAAACGCGAGCTGGTAATCCGTGAGTTGCTACACTCTCGTCATCAATAGAGAACATATACATCAAAGAAACACTCCTATACTGATTCAAGCCATTACTATGTCTCCCTAAAACAAAGGGTTGCTCTGTGGTTGTCAACACATACTGATTCCCACTCTTTATAGGTGCCCAAATCTGAACTAAAATCTGATTTTGCTCAGTTGATTCCTTGAAACACCTGAGCGCCTGTGTCATCTTCTCTTTGATGATAGATGATACATGTACATCTAAGTTGTCAAAAGGAGTATATCCCATGAACGGAGTAGAAAGCATCATCTCATCATGATAATCCTCAATGTTTTCACCTAGAGATAGTGATTTCAAGTCATAAATGATGCAGCAGCCAGCAGAGGGTAACACAAAGCAAGAGCCTAGTAACATAATTGGAAAATAAATTTTTCTTACCTAAATTTTCCTGAACTTATGTATACTTACTTTACTACAACTACAAGCATTACTTACTAGTAACTCCCTCCATCCCCAATATTTTGCCCCACTTGACTTTTTGCGTCTCCAAGACACGTCTTAAAACGGTTTTACCTCCATTTTCATATATAATTCTATAGTAGTCGTTTGAAATATGACTACCATATTATTTTAATGATAAACAATATTATTGATTTATTTTTCCACATTATAAAATGGACATAATTAGTCTCCTAATACCTACAATGCGAATATAACTTTTAAAAAGTTTAATCCAACATAAAATAATTATTTTTCGAGAAACTATAAAATAATAATAAAAATTACATAAATGAAACAAATAATTTGATAAGTTACAAAAATGTTGATAATACTATTTTATATTAAAATAAAATAAAATAATTTATTATTTGGAGAAAATATGTCAATTATGAACCAAATAGTCATGAAAATAGTCATATTTCAAATGACTACTATAGAATTTTCACCATTTTCATACGTGTAAAAATTATACGAAGTAAAAAAAAGAAAATAGATATTAATAAAATATAGCATGAAACGATTCCAACAAAATCCCACATAATTATATTTTTTTTTTTACAAATTAAGAGCATTTTATGGTCAAAAAATGTTAAAGTTTGACCCATATTTTTGCGATGGAAAAGAAGTACCAGTGTAAAACTTGTGGAAACTTCAAATTTTCTAACTTCTGGACTTCTAAGTAACAAGTCATGCTAATGCTAAGATAATAAAAGGTATTCTCTCTCTTTATTTATCCCAAATTAGAGTTTTACACTTCTTCTTAACGCACAACTTAGCTATTTTTAAAAATAATATTAATTTATGGAAGTAGACAACGATACAAACAATAAAATCCCACATTACTTGCACATTCACATAATTGCTTTTTCTTTTAAAAAAAAAAAAACGTAATTGCTTGTTTTGATCAACTACTACGGAATATATATATTTTTTTACCAACAATTATGTTTCTAATGTATTTCAATAGCAATTTTGCTATACAAAAAACAAAATAAAAATGACACAATTGACAAAGCAATTATGTGGTTTGTGCATACAGGTAAACCAACAAATTAAAAAAAATAAAATATATACCTAAATTTGCATCCGAATCATAGTCGTCGTAATAAGAGTAATTACTCGGACGAGAGCGCCTAAAAGGCAAAGTTAATAACACAGGATTGAGCTGGGTTTCAGGTGAGGGATAATCAAATTCCGGAAATACCCTTTCCTCATCTTCTTCTTTTTCACTCTTCTCTTCGCTCCTCCATGATCCCTGATTTTGGGGTTGATCTTCCATTCAGAAAAATAATTAGTGGAAGTACTGGTATGATTTATGGAAGCCCTCTTCTTCAATTTCATTTTTTCTGAGTGTTCTTTTTCAATTTATATTTGGGGTGAAGGGATTATAAGACTATAATAATGGAAATAATTTTTGTTGAATTCAGAAGAGTGATGTAAGATTAAAAGTGGATATTTGATTAATTGAAGAGGCAAAAGACGAGTTTTTATGAACCCCTGATTACTACGGAGTACAGTCAAAGAGTAAAATGATGAGGCGTTTGAAACGTGAAAATGGGAGTTTGGGATTAAAAGATGAGAGTGATATTGGGAATTAATTGATCAGAATACATAAAAATATGTCAATATTTTGTTTGGGTAGTGAATGAGAATATATAGGAAATAAATAATAATTTTATAAAAATACCCTTACTAACATTTTTTTCATTCTTTTCATTCATGGCAAAAATGTCATTTTGTATCTATTCTCATTTCCATCCATTTATTATCTACCCTCCCTAGGTAATAAAATGGTGGGAATTAACCTCTAAATAATCTCATTCCCAAACTCCTTTTTATTCTCATTCCCATCAAACAAAACAGGCTTATTTATTCTATTGGGATTAAAACTCCCAATCCCACCTCATTTCCCACGTACCAAACACTCCCTGAGATTCCTAGTTCGGCAGTTCCCTTTCTATTGAAAAGTCAAATGAAAGTAAAAAAATTACAAGTAATACCCCTATCTATACTACTAGGGTGAGCATTGATCGGATATCCGTATCCGATCCGAAAATTTTCGGGTATCCGGATGATATCTGAAAATTTTCGAATCGGATAGTTCGGTTATCCGATACCCGACCCTACCCTCTTAATATATTAATAAAATATTAATCTAATGGAAAAATTGATTTGTTTTTAATATATGACATTACTTTACTAAATGAAAGTAACAAAAATTTGAACAGATTCATATTTTTGCATATTGCAGGTAAAGGTGGGCAGCAGGCCGGGCCGGCGCGCCAGCACAGTCTCGGCGTGCCGCGCCGTGCCTCCATTTCCACCAGGCCAGCCCACGGCACGGCACAGCATGGCCCAGCCCACGTGCCTGGCACGTTCTTCTTCTTTCTTTTTTTTTTTAAAAAAAAAAATACATTATTTTTTTATTATTAACTAATTAAGTTTACTTCTTATTATTATAAATTAATTAATTAAGTTTATTATTATTTAATTATTATACTTGTTGTAACTTGTTATTATAATTTATTTATTTATTTAATTATTATACTTGTTATTATAATCTATTATTTTTATACTTGTTATTACTTATTAATATTACTTCTTATTATTATAATTTATAATTAAGTTTATTATTATACTTGTTATTATAATTTATTATTATACTTGTTATTACTTCTTATTATTATAATTTATATTTATTATAGTTATAATTTACTATACTTTTTATTTATTATAGCTAATTAGTTATTAACTTATTTTGTTTATATTACTTTTTATTTTCTTAACGGCGAAGATGAAAATTTCAAATCTTAACGGCTAAAAAAAAAGAGGAAATTGGACTTTGATTCTTTAAATGTGATTACTGCATACTTCATATTATTATTACTTGAAATATTACAAATAAATACATACTTCTTAACGTTGGAAGATATAAATTTCAAAAAAAAAAAAACAAAAACTCAAGTATAAATGTTTGATATTAATCTAACAAGTAATAATGATAAAAATCGTACAATGATAATTATTTTGTACAAGGATATTATATAAATATTGTTTATAATTAGAAGTATGTAATTTACTTATAGTTCATCATCATCATCATCATCTTCTTCTTCTTCTTCTTCTTCTTCTTCTTCTTCTTCTTCTTCTTCTTCTTCTTCTTCTTCTTCTTCTTCTTCTTCTTCTTCTTCTTCTTCTTCTTCTTCTTCTTCTTCTTCGTCTTCGCGTTCAAGGTCATCGGCTAGTTAAATAGATTGGGTACTAGCCGAACCCGAACGGTTGGAAGCAAAGGTTCCGTCATCGTTGTCGTTGTTGGCGTAAGGGTCTTGTGAGCAATTTTCAGCATCCAACCAATCTTTAAAACACACGCACATTTCAAGTGTTTCGGGTTTTAGACTTGTTCTTTTATCGTCTAAAACCCTCCCGGATGCGCTGAAAGCTCGTTCAGAGTCAGCGGAGGAGACTTGGATACCAAGAATGTCTCGTGCCATTGCCGCCAAAGTTGGATGCTTTGAGCTTTGTTGTTTCCACCATATAAGGAGGTCGAGGCTGTTTATCTCATCGTCATCCATGCCCTTGGTGAAGTTGTAACTCAGGTATATTTGTAACTCCGAGACATCGCTTTGCGTTCTCCTTATTGATGAATCACCTGAAAACCTTGGAATCAAGTTAGTAGCTTGTTAAAATAAATGCTTAGCCTTTTTACTTACATTTTTGGATGGTTGAGAAGGGCCAGAGCGAGGAACAGTGCCATATTTGGTTTCATAAACTCTATATAAAGGAAAAAATTGATCCTTCACATTACTCTTATAGGTTTCTACACTATCGTCAATAAGCATGCATTGAAAACAAATGTCAACTAACATAAATGTACTTTCATACTTTTGCCTAGGATCTAATATGGAAGCAAAAATATAAATTAAAGGAATTTCAATATAATATTTACGCCACTTTATTTCCATTGCTGGAAGATATTGATCATAATCACTTTGGTTGCGATGATCAGAGAAAAGTTGGGCGAGTAAACATGCATTTAAAAGAAAGTTTTGAGCATAAGGATTATAAACGGAAGAAAAACAAAATGTCATGTTATATAATGATTGTAAAAATTGCATATATTTTTCACATTTATCCCAATCATCCTCATATAAAGCATTTTGTGGAAATTTTTAGTTGTAAAAAATTGTTAAAGGATTCTTATATTCAATTTCTTTGGTTAACATGTCATAGGTGGAATTCCACCTAGTTGGACAATCGGTTTTGATTTTTATTGCTCTTATCTTTTGTTGTCTTAGAAAACCTTTCCATTCTTGGTATCTCATGTTTGAGCTATTAATAGACATAATAGTGTAATACTCCGTATTTTTATGTATTTTATAAATTATTTAATTAATTATAAAATATATTTTTAAAGTACTCAAGTATTTTAATTAAATATTTAAATGGCTAAAGTATTAAAATTATTGAGTTTTATAAAAGTATAATTTATTTTGGGCTAAACGTTTATTAATCGTTTGGGCTCATTTAAATAATAGTATTAAACAATTCTTACATACTCCTAGTGGACCAAGCCATTTTATTTAAGTAAACCCAATTCTTTTATTTGAACCCTTGTGGGTCAAATATTTCATGACTAAAGTCCATTTATTTATTAAGCCCAAATACAATCCCTACTCTTTACTCTATAAATATTCCTCTAAACCCTAAAAATTTCCCACAAAAGAGATCAAAAATCAGATTTTGGGGGTAAGTAACTTTTCTTTTCTTTTCTTTCTTTTTCTTTTTCCTTATTCTTTCCCTTATTTTTTTTTCTTTTCCTTGGAGTTTTCATGCGTGAAAACAACACTTCAAGTGCTTGAAGCCACCAACACCACGCTAGCCGACGCCGGCCACCTTCGGCCGCCCAGCCACCGCGGTGGTTTGTCCCTCCTCCTCCTTGTTTTAAATTATTATTTATGTAATTATTTGTTTTGGGTTTTGATTTTGATTGATAAATTATATTAGTATATGGTATAATTGTGTTTTGACAACTAAAGAGTATAAATTTCAGATTTTTGTATGGTTTTAAATTATGATTTTTATAAAGTATTAAAAGTTAGGGTTTTAACTATTAAAGTGTTGATTTTTAGGTATCTAATAATCAATTAAATTAGGGCTTTCATTCCTATTGAATTTATAAAGATTAATTAAACATAAAAACAAATTTTCGATAATTAAATTCCGATCTCCGTTCTTAATTATTTTTAATCACGTTGAAATTCTAACTCGTTTGATTTTTACAAACAAATAGTGTTTTTCGTGTGTAAACAACGTTCTTATCAGAACTCGGAGCACCACCCTCTCGTGGCCAAATTCAGCCTCTAAATAGGGTTTTCGGACAGTTTTTGGTTTTCGGACAGTTTTTGATTTTCGACGAAGGTTTAATGTTTTAAAAATAATTTTCAGATTTATTTGAGGGATTTAAATCTTAATAAGTGTGCCGGAATTTTTATATAAACACCATGAATGAGTTTTTATGTTGTGGTTTTAATTACCCACTTAAAGAAAGAGCTTTAAAGGTTTTAAACAAAAATTTCAGCTTATTAGAGAAGGTTTAAAGTGTTTAAAAGTTGCTGGAAATTTGTGTAATCAAGGAAGTAATTGAGTTTATGTATTTGGTATTGTAGGAGACTTTAAGTTCAGTAATTTCTAGCATTGTGGCTAGTTGGAAAGATGATTTAATTAAGGTACGTACAAGAATACGAAAAACCTTGACTTTAGGAGCATGTTTAAGGACTTGGAAAAACTTAGAATCATGCTAGGGAACTTGTGGATTGGTTGAAATTGTTTGGTAGTGAGTTTGATTGATGACTAATGTGATGATTGGAAGATTTATATATGAGAAATTCGTATGATTTCCTTATAAGAATTATTTATGCAATAATTTGCAAAATGAGCTTAGAGGCAAAGATACAAGGATATATGGAATGAATTAATTTATTACTTGTTCACTAATATTGGAATGGAATGAGTAAAAGAAAAATTAAAGTCTTATAAGACAAGGTCGAGGATTTGAGGTGCCTTATGCACTTAAGGTGTTTATTCACCGAGGTAGTTAAAGGATTCAATAATAAATATTGTTTGTCACTAATAAATTAAGAATTGAATTGGAAACTTGAATGGTTTGAATGATCGATGTATGATTGGTTGTGTTGTGTTGTGTTGTGTTGCATTTGAGTCATCACCAAATTAAAACTGGTAAATCACGTAAAGTGCAAGAAGGATGAGCAATAAAACTCTGGATTTGTGCACATCTAGAGTAATGACAAACAGGGGTTGGGGTTCACGGGGTATTAGCCGTGTACTTTTCAGAGGTCGTCTGATCTACGAGTCTCTTGTTTTCAAATACTTTTAAAATTATAATGAGTTAGATAAGATCTCATACTAGCTATGGCCACGGAGTCGCGTCCGTCTGCCATTGGATGTTTATTAATGTCTTCTGAAAGGAGGCATAGGTTTTTCTTTATTAATGTTTCGGAATGGAGCATAAGGGGACAACCAGGTCAATTGCTTAATCCGATCAAATTAATGAAATGATCAATGCTATTTAGTGAA